GGAGTTATATGCTAAGTTCTCTAAGTGTGAGTTTTGGCTGAGTCTATGGCATTCTTAGGCCACATTGTGTCTGGAGATGGAATTAAAATTGATACTCAAAAAATTGAGATAGTGCAAAATTGGCCTAGACCCACATCTCCAATAGATATTAGGAGTTTCTTGGGTTTGGCTAGATATTATAGAAGGTTCGTAGAGGGGTTCTCGTCTATTTCGTCCCCTTTGACCAAATTGACTCAGAAAACAGTGAAGTTTCAATGGTCTGAAACTTGTGAGAAAAGCTTTCAGGAATTGAAAAAGAGGTTGACTACTGCCCCAGTGTTGACCTTACCAGAAGGTACGCAAGGCTTGGTTGTATATTGTGATGCGTCTAGATTTGGTTTGGGTTGTGTACTAATGCAGAATGACAAAGTTATAGCTTATGCCTCCAGACAGTTGAAGGTTTATGAGAAGAATTACTCAACCCATGATCTAGAGTTGGCTGTTATAGTGTTTGGTTTGAAAATATGGCATCATAATTTGTATGGGATTCATGTTGATGTATTCACTGATCACAAGAGCCTTCAGTATGTGTTTACTCAGAAAAAGCTTAATCTCAGACAAATGAGGTGGTTAGAATTACTCAAGGATTATGACACGAGTATTCTTTATCACCCAAGTAAGACTAATGTTGTTGTTGATACCTTGAGTAGATTATCTATGGATAGTACCTCCCATTTTGAGGAAACTAAGAAAGAGTTAGCAAAAGAGGTGTATAGACTTGCACGACTAGGAGTTCGACTAATGGATTCCACAGAAGGAGGAGTAGTGGTGATGAATGGGGCTGAATCATCATTTGTGTCAGAAATAAAAGATAAGCAAGACTAAGATTTTTTATTGCTTGAATTAAAGGCAAGTGTTCATAAGCAAAAAGTGATGGTTTTTGAACAAGGGGGAGATAGTGTTTTGATGTATCAAGATGGATTGTGTGATTGATTTCAAGGGTAATTGGGATGATCACCTACCTCTCATTGAGTTGCTTACAATAATATTGTCATTCTAGCATCTAGATAGCTCCTTACGAAGCTCTTTATGGGAGAATATGCAGATCTCTTATTGGATGATTTGAAGTTGGTGAAGTTGGGTTGGTAGGACCAGACTTAGTTCATCAAGCTATGGAAAAAGTGAAAGTGATTCAAGAAAGGTTGAAAACAGCGCAGAGTCGTCAAAAATCCTACACTAATGTTAAGAGAAGGGAGTTAGAGTTCGAAGTAGATGATTGGATTTACTTGAAAGTTTCACCCATGAAGGGTGTTATGAGATTTGGTAAGAACGAGAAGCTTAGTCCTCGGTATATTGGTCATTACCGGATATCCAAAAGGGTTAGTAATGTAGCTTATGAGTTGGAGCTACCACAAGAGATAGTAGCGGTCATTCGGTATTTCGTATTTCCATGTTGAAGAAGTGCATGGGAGATCCTTAACTTATAATACCAACTAAAGATATTGGTATCAAGGATAGTTTATCTTATGAAGAGATTTCGGTTCAGATTCTAGATCACCAAGTTCGCAAGTTGAGGACTAAGGAAGTAGCATCAGTCAAAGTTCTTTGGAGGAACCAATTTGTTGAGGAAGCTACTTGGGAAGCTGAGGAAGATATGAAGAAGAGATATCCACATCTCTTTATAACCGGAGAAATTCCAGACCAATGTACTAATACTCTTCTTATTACTCTTTAATTTATAAGTTAGCGTGTTGAAATTGCATTGCTTGTTGGGTGTTTAAGCTGAATGTTAAATGTTACACCCTTAGCCTACTAAGAGTAATCTCATTCGAGGATGAATTCTCCCAAGGGGGAGATAGTGTAACATCTCGCAAATTGAAAGAAAGAGCCAGAATTAGAAAGAGTGATTTTTGGAAAAAATAAAAAATCTGAAAATTGGTTAAGTTAAATTAAGTTTGAGTTTTTGGTCAACTTCAAACAACCATAACTCCTAGCTCAGGATGAGTTAGGTGTGTTTCCAGATATCGTAGAAAATATCTTGGAATAATCTTTCCAACGCCGTCGAGTTTGTGCGATTCCAAGTTCGTATGAGTGAGTTATTCCCATTCGAAGTTGGGTTGTTCAAATAAGGAAAGTCCAATCCAGATTTAGAAGGGCATTATGGTCTTTTCACCACCCAATTAAGTTAATTCATTTTTAGCAATTAAATTGGGGTATGTTTAGACAATTGGAAATTTACGCTAGGGTTTTTTGAGAAAGAACGCAAGAGGAGAAAGAGCAAAGTTCGTCGTTCTTGAAGGTTTAGCTTGTTGATGAGTGATTCCTACGAGGTATGTGAGTCTTTCATAGAGTTGGGCTCGTTCACCCATGTGCCAGTCATGTTTATTTCAGCGTAGTTTGTTCTAGAAAGTTGAAAGTTGATTAATCTTGAATGGTGTTCTTGAAATTGATCTTCGTTCTTGAGTTAAGTTGAGATTGAAGAGTTCCTTGAGGTTAGAATGTTGTTTCCTTGAGTTGTTTGAGTTAGATTCTTGTGTATACATACTGGGTATCTGAATCTAAAGGGAATTTGAGAAAAAGACCAGAGTTTAGGCGAATTAGGGTTAACAAACGAAGAAGGAACAAGTCGGGCAGAAACTGGGTACCAGGTCCGCGTCGCAGACCTGTTCCTCAGAAGCGTAGTTTTCCCTTCGCATCGCGGCGAGGACACGGACCTCTCTGCCTCAAAAATTATTTTGGAACCAAAATTTAAATACACCTCCACGTCGCGAACTGGTTTCCCGAAAGTGATTTCTTGATCATTTTTCATGTTTAGCTATTTAAAATCATTTCTAAACATCATGAGATCTTTCCTATCACAAATCTCAATCCTTGAATCCATAATTCAATTCAAGGAAAGTTAAGAGTCAAGTCAAAAGCAGTTAAGAGTCAAGTCAAGAAAAGTCAAGAATCAAGTTAAGAGAAGTTCATACAGTTTTCCAAAAGTCTTTTACAAATGTTTTAACTTTGTTTTAAGACTTGAGTTTTGAGTTGAGTAAAGAGTAAAGTTTGAAGTTCATTTCTTCAAAAGAGTATATCGGGACTATGTATTCCCAAAGAGTAAATGTTTTCACATTTAAACAAGAAAGGAAATTGAAATTTCCAAAAGAGCCTTTGAGCTAGTTTTCAGTAAAGGGTAAGAGTAAAGTTCATTCTTCAAAGATTATACGGGAACTAAGTATATATACTCCCAAGAGTTAAAATATTTTCACATTTGAGCAAGAAGGGAAACTGAGATTTCCAAAAGAGCTTTTAAGCTAAGTGTTTCAGTAATTATTTCAAACCAAAGAAAGAGTTTTGTTTTTACAAACATATGACCTAAGTATATTTTGGGAGTAGTATTGAGCACGGATATGGGGACGAGTTTGAGTTCAGATAACTCACGTCTCCATAAACCATGTAGCCATCATGAGTAGTAAAAGATCATACTTTTTAGATGACTCCTTAAGATGCTTTTAGCATATATATACTAGTGGATCCACTTAGTTAAGCGTTCTATATGACGACAAAGTATAGGACAGGTCTGGCAGCGTGGGCAAGACGTTGTATCACCACTTCGGCTCATAGAGATGGTTGTCGGTTAGAGAAACTCCCACAAAAACTATATTACTTTATTATATGAATAAAGTTGAGTTTGTTATTGCATTTTCTTTAACGAACTAAGTTGTTTTTCTACTATTTTAAAAGCTTTCTATATATTGCATGTGTTTTATTGTTTTATATTGAGTTAAGTTATCCAGGAGTTAAGTAAAGCCAAGGTAAGTGTTTCTTTCAGATTCTTTTCAAGCTTAAGTTATGTTTAGCATTCCAACTCGCATACTCGTACATTCAATTTATTGATGTCAATTGGGCTTGGATCTTATTATGATACAAACACAGGTAATCAAGATCAGCATCTAGCGCCTCGTTGATCCAGTTGAGCACTCAGAGTCAGTTGGTGAGCCTCCTAGCTTTCCGGAGGGTCCTTTTTATTGCTTTCAGTATTTTAGTTCATTAGGATGTCTGAGTCATTTTCCGACGTCTATCTCAGTTGTTTAGAGGCTTCATAGATAGAGTTAGTGATGTTAGTTCATGAGTCTTTACTTTTCCTTTTCAGTTAAGTTGAGACTTGAGTTACCACTTTGGCAGTGAATGTTATTATAATACATTCTAAGTTATATTTTGAGCAGTTCAGTTTACTTGTTTTAAAAGTATTTATCTTGAGTAAAGTCTTCCGCTGAGTAAGTAAGTCAGGTCAAGGGTTCGCTTGGGGCCAACAATGGTTCTCAAGTCCCGGCCACGTCCAGTCTATGATGCCTACTGAGTACCCTTGTTTTGGTACTCATACTACACTTCTACATCTTTTTCTGATGTAGCGCCTACTACGAACCATCCTCGTCGATTTTTTATCGTTCGAGGCCATCACTATTGGATTGTGGTTAACTCTCGGTTTCCGGAGACTTACTGCCTTCCTTTCTTATTTTTTTGTCTATATTTTTTATTTATTTAGACAGACTTGTTGTAAATAGCTATGCATGTACTTTAGATGCTCTTGTACTAGTGACACCAGATCTGAGGTTATTCTTCTTTATATATTCGTCAACTCAATCACTTTCAAGCTTTTATTTTTATTTTGTACTGTTTTGTCCATATCTATCATCTATGCTATGGTCCCTTTCTTATCTTATTATTGTTTCCACGTTAGTTATTTCTAATTTTGTTTATAGCTTTATATTTTTGGATTTTGATTTGCCTACTGGGGGTATGATAGGCGTCATCATATAATCCAATTTCAAATCGTGACACAGATAATGAATCTGCTCTGCAATCATAAAGTATATTTAAGGGAAAAATAAACTAGATTTAGAGAAAAGATAAAATATCATGATCATATTTTAATTACCAAAGGCCACATCAACTCATTTACATGTTAACCAACCATAGACTTTGTTTTTTATTCATATGATGATTTTGTGAGTGATAATACCAATATTTAGAATCACTTAAATGCTACTTCGATTAAATGCACGACAAGCTAGAGGTTTCTTCATCTCAAGAGAAAGTTTCAAACATTCTGAAAGATCAACAGGTTTACTTGGAAGCCATTTGAACTGTTGGAGAAGTCGGGCTAGCCATAGGTGCACTGTGGCTAACCCTAGTACCCTTCCTGGGCAAACCCGACGTCCAGACCCAAACGGAGCAAGCCTAAGATCCGATCCCATGATTGAGAAGTCTTCTTTATCAATAAATCTTTCAGGCTTGAAGGCCCATGGATCTTCCCAAATAGTTGGGTCATGTGTAATAGCCCACATATTGACCATTGCAGTTGTCCCAGCTGGAATGAAACACTTGTCAATATAAGTATCATGCATAGCTAAACGAGCCCAAGAGAGTAGTGGGCCTGGTGGATGTAATCTAAGAACTTCTTTTACTATGGCTTGCAAATAAGGAAGGTTTTGTATATCTGAGTCTTGTACATTTCTATTATGACCCACACATGTGTCAATTTCTTCTTGTGCTTTTTCTTGAACATCTTGATGTAAAATCATTCTTGCCAAAATCCACTCTACAAGGATGGCAATTGTATCTGTTCCTCTAAATACCATTTCCTATATCAAGTAAAAAAAAAAAATCAATTCAATTTATACCATTGTACACTTCTCAAATGTAATGGCATATATACCGTTAAAACTCTCGTATATTTGATCTCTAACTTGCTTGAAAGTAAGACGTGTTGTATGTTGTAGTTGTACAATTCTCAATGCGCGCTTGTTTTAGAAAACAAAATATTTGTACTTTGTGTAATTCATAAACACAACTAATTAATTTGGTACTCCCTCCATTCCATAATAGATGTGCATCTTACTAAAAATATTTGTCTCATTATTTGATCCACTTAATAAATCAGGATAGAATAAATTATTTTTTTCGTTTTACCCTTACAATTAATATGACCTTTGGAAGTTTAAACAAATTTTGAAGATCAAAAATTTATTTTTTCAAAAGGCTAATTAATATGAATAAAAAACAAATAGTAAAATTGATCAAAATATTAATAATATCTTAATCACAGTATAAAATAGAAAATGTCAATCTAATATGAAATGGAGGGAGTACATGGGTAGAATTGCCTTTCTTTTATTTATCTCTTCACAAGCCCCACCTTAAGAGGCTAATCTTAGAATTAATAAAAGGTTTAATTTAAGTGGCACACACGTTTATTAGTAACTGGGAACTTATAGTTTAGAAGCATCGTTTAGAAAATAAGCATAGTTTAGTAAGGATTTGGCTTCTCTTCATACATCTCCTTTTCATTTTTTTGAGTGCATATTTAGATGAGTGACACTTGTTATATTTAAAATCAAAAGGTTTAGATTAAATTAATTTAACAAATCTCTTAACTATAACTATGGTAAAAGAATAAGTTAGAAAAGAACTTTACCAACTTTAATAAGAAAAAATTCATCATAGACAAATTTTAGCTCCTCATTAATATAATTATTTCCATGATATATGTTTTACATCCCTATTAATATCATTGCCGTAATCTAAATTGAAGAATACTCTCTATGTTTTTTATTTATTATTAGCTGACCAAATAAAACCAAAGATAAAGGTATAATGAGATCATACATGAGTTAAACATCAGTAAAATAATTAAGAAAAAAAACGACTGACTTTATTTTTACAGAGAAAATAATCTACTAAAGTTGGTGAGTTTTTTTTCATAATTCATTTTTTTACTTATAATTAAGAAGCTTGTTAAATTAATTTAATTTAGATTTTTAAATTTTAAATATGACAAGTGTCATTTATCAAATATGCACTTGGTCAGGAAATGAAAAAGAATATGTAATATAGAGAAGCCGTAATATGCTGGTAGACTTATTCATAATTATAAGTTCTATTGTTATACTTAATTAAGTTAATTATCTATCTACTTATGCACTTCAGGAAATGAAAAGAAAATGTAATATAAAGAAGCCGTGCTATGCTAGTAGACTTATTCCTAATGTAAGTTCTATTATTAGATTTAATTAAATCAATCATTAATCTAAATATGCACTTGAGGAAATGCAAAGAGTACTTAATACTCTCTCTGTCCCTAATTACTTATCCACTTTTGAATCGGCACACCTATTAAGAAACCAATTATTGATATAGTGAGTTTACCATTTTACTCCTATTAATTATGGAGTGGATGAATTAAAAACTTCAAATTTTCAAGAAGTTCTACATTTTTTAAAGTAATTAATTGAGGGTATAATAGGTAAAAATATTTTGTCCTTTCTTGATTTGTCAAAATGGACAGGAACAACTAAAAAAATAAAATAGACAAGTAATTAGAGACAGATGGAGTAATATAGAGAAGCCGTAGTATGCTATAAGTTCTATTGAGGAAATGCAAAGAATACTTATAATATAGAGAAGCGGTAATATGCTATAAATTCTAATAAGGAAATGAAAGAATACTTAATATAGAGAAGTCGTAATATGATATGAGTTCTATTAAGGAAATGAAAATAATATAGAGAAGCCGTAATAGGCTATAAATTCTATTAAGGAAATGAAAAAGAATACTTATAATATAAAGAAGCCGTAACATACTATAAGTTCTACTGAAGAAATGAAAAGAATATTTAATATAAAAAAAGCCATAGTATGATTGATATAAGTTCTATTATTAGAGTTAATTAAGGTCGTTGTTGGCGGAGCTGGAAAAACTAAAAGTGAAAAATTTATTATATATATATATATACCACATGCAGTAGACTTATTGTTGACGAAGATAAGTAAATTTTGTAGTTGACACGATATGACACAAAGTTTAACTTTTAATAATGAGTCATTTCACTTTAAAGCATCAACGAATCTTAACTATCAACCTAGTTATTAATTATTCCCTTCATTCTATATTTAGTTAATTTTTGAGGTGTTTCACACCCTTTAAAAAAATAGATTAAGACATAAATTAAACCTAGTTTTTCATTTTTACCCTTATTAATTATTGCCAAATTTATGATTAAAATAACTAAATATTAATTAATCACTAATTCCAATACTAACTAATGAAGGGTAAAATTGAAAGAACACTCTAAAAGTAGTCTTGAAAACTGAACAATTAAGTTAATTTGAAAAATGCCTCAAAAATTAACTTAATATGGAATGGAGGGAGTATTATATACTCTAGATATGTTCAACGAGTTGACAAGTTTTTTTATTATTTATAAAATACTTCCTCGGTCCCAATTCATGTGACACTTTTCGCTTTTCGAAAGTCAAACCGTTTAACTTTGACCAAAAATTTATGCGTCAAATCTTCAATTTTTTTAAATGAAATTTATATATTTGTAAACTACGTAAAAAGTACTATAAGTCACAATAATTGACAATTCAAAATAATTAAAAGATGTATGAAAAATTTACGGTCAAAGATAGACTTGTTTGAATTTCGAAATTCGAAAAGTGTCACATAAATTGAAACGGAGGGAATATTATTTTCTACATCCTAATAAAAGGTTATCTTAGCAAAAAGAAATTTGTTCTAAAATAAGTGTCATCTTATATTTTTTTCAACTATACCTTTCTATACTCCATTTAATTACTAGTTTTCAATTTTCAAGAAACATTTATTAACTAGGGATATTTTAATAAACTACATATTGTATTGATTAATTTTTAAGTCAACCTGACTTTTATTAAGATGACACTTATTTTGAGATCGAGAGAGTATTCTAGCTAGCTCTAAGCATATGGAAAGAAGTTAGATTCAAAATTGAAAGAGGCAGAAGTAATCCTTACCCACAAAATAGCCACCATATCTTCATCTTTAAGTTGATCTTCTTTTGCCAAAGATAGCAAAACACTAAGGAAGTCATTTTTCATATTTACTAATTCTCCCTCTCTTCTCCTTTTTTTCATTATTTCACCAACTAGTTCATTCACTTGAGCTCCCAACTTATAACACCTTCTCTTAGTACCCCAAAAGTCTAATGGAAAATAATCTGACCAATTAAATTCTCCAATCAATTCATATCCTTCTTTCACCATTAACCCTAACTTCTCACCTTCTAACCCTAAAGTACTCCCAAACACACTTTCAAGGATATTACTCAAAGACCCTTGTCTCAACAACCCTCTAACCTCAACAAACCCACTCTCATTCATCTCCTTGACAACTTTTCCTATCATGTTATCGGCTATAAGTTGTCGAAGACTCTCAAAACATGAAATTCTCCTAGGAGAAAACATGTGATTCGTAGCAATTCTTCTTAGGTTTCGCCAATAACTCCCATAGGGAGCAAAACCAATGGCTCTTTCAAACATGAGAAGTTTGGTTGATTCTTTCAAGGGACGGCTAGAAAATGAGGCACTCCATAGAATTTCCTTCGCAGTGTCAGGGTGGCTACTAATGATAACTCGAGTAGCACCAAGGCTTATTGTCATTAATCGAGTTGAGCCTAGTGATGAAGCAATCATGGCTAGTTTCCGGTGAGCACAAGACCCCATTTGAGGTAGAAATCCCAAAAAGGGCCAAGAAAAAGGACCATGAAGTTTATTAGGGTTTCGATGATGATAGTGAGTATAGTTTCTCCATGCAAACCCTCCGGGCACTAGCCAATAGTTCAAGAGGAAATTAAGTAGGAGGGAGAAGAGGAGAGTTGCAAGAGTGAAAGTCCATGGATAAACATAGTAAGAAATAACTAAGATGATGAAGAGGGCTAGCATGAAGGGCTTCATGATTAATTAATTTGGGACTTAAAAATGTAAAAGGTGCACAAGTAAAATAACTAAAATATTGGAAATGGAATCTTGTTTGTCGTGAGAGAATTGCATGTGGAATGATTAGTATATATAGGGTAAGTGGAAAGTAATTAAGTTTGGTTAATTATTTGGTTTCTTTTTGCTTAACCCTGGTTAAGGGACCTTTTTCTTTCGACAATGATAACAAATGATAATTAATTAATCATTGATACTTACAAAAGAATAGAATTGACACTCAGAGAGAGTTTGCGGGTGGTATCACTTTGTATTATAACATAGTTTCCTACCCCTGCACCCCCTATTGGAAAAAATGATAATCTCATCCCAGATAATATTCATGCTAAATAGCAATGATAAAATAGTAACAATGGCACCTGGGTATGGACTGTTTCACCCTTAACCAGAGGTTTCGAGTTCGAGCCCTGGGTATGGAGAAAAATCTATTGGAAGCGTCACCCTCGAATAGGCCCTGTAGAGCGTGATCCAGATTTAGTCAGAGCTCTAATGTGAGCTTTGGACACCTGGTGGAAAACCAAAAAAAAAAAAACGACACCAAATATTATAACGAAAAAATAATAAAAATCTCACTCAGAATAATATTCACTCTAAATAGCAATAAGAAGAGAATAACAACACTACCAAATATTATAACAGAATAAATATAATACCCAAATAAAATAGTACAATCACAATGACTCAATGATTACAACTTGATAGTATCAAAAGATGACACTTGTCAATTTAACTCCTACTTGGTAAATATAGTGAAAAAGAAAGAAATTGAATATTGATGCTTTCTATAAATATATTTTTGGAGGTCGACCAGTGTTCTTATAGTTGCTAACAGTAATTAGAGTCCTTTTCTTGTTAGTATTCTTTATTGTAAGTGTTAGGACATCATAATAGTGAGGTTACACATATGTAGTAACTATATTCTATTAAAATTCATATTTATAGTTTATCTCTAGGGGAGTTTATATTCAACTACACTTTATGTAACATCCTATATATATATTGAGGAAGAACTCTTCCGTAAAATACAATCGAGGTTTATTGTATTCATAAAATCTCTACGGTAAGAATATGCCCATTTTTTTTCTTCCATCACTTGGAGGATTAAAGTGTATATGTTCTGAGTTCTCACTTACCCTTTAGTTAGACTCGAATTTTCAACCTAAAGATTGATAGTGGAGGTGTTTAATCATTTAAGCAAGTCTCACTTGTTACTTCACCATTTATTTATTTTCTTTTTCAATTTAAATTTTGCATGGATCTTAAAAAATAATAATTGATATGAATATTTTATATATAATTCTCATATTAATTGATGTTCTATCTTAAATTTGAGAAATGATTTAGAGAATAAGTAATTAATTAATGTTAAGGGTAAATAAAATCATTATTTATTAAATATTTTTCTCTTGTTATATTATAAAATGACATGAGAAATAAAAATAAATATATATGTTTAATATAATGAACAAATAAAACAATTTTGTAGTTGTCTCAAAATTGCCCCTAGTGAACTGGATATACCTAGATGTTGTAAGTGACCTAATAACTTGAATATAATTAGGTTTTCCACATTTTGTTGTCAATTGTGTTTCTTGAAAAATATTTTTTTGAAAAACAAGTTGATTTCTAATTTATTTTCTCATGTTTAGTTATGAGTGTTATCTTCTGTATTCAGGTTAGGAAAAACAGAAACAGAAAAAAGATGAAATAGAGAGAAAATAAAAATCCGAGTCCACAGAACCCACTGTGTTTCCTTAAGAAATTTAATCCCTCAAGTACCCGAGGTTACAGATTAATCCCTCCCAAGATAAAACGGATTAAATATTAGAGAAGTAGCGGTACCTCAAACTTCACTAATCTCAGCGAACGCAAGAACAACAACGAGAGCACATATACTCAGTTGATCGACAATTTTATTTTTGTAAGAAAATGTATGCAGAGAGGAAAAAATTTCAGTGTTGAAAAATGGAAAAAGACTCTATTTATAGCCACTTGCAGCAAGGAACGCGTTTGTTCGGACCATGGTGTGAACGTATCTGTTCAGACATGTCTTTCCAGAACATTGTGTCTTTTGGGAAAAATAACGTCTTTTCGGAAGGAATAGATCTATTCAGACAACTTTACCGTTACGCGCGAATTTCAAATAATTCTGTTACGCGAAATTAATTCTGTTAATAAACTAACATTCTGAATTAATTTATAAGAAAAAGGAAATCAATTAATGAGATTGATTAAATAAATTTTGTCCAAAAATATTAATCATTTGCCGAAGCCGAGCGAGCGACGACGACGGCGCGAGGGGACACCTTCTTCTTAACCCTTTGAGAACTAAATTAAGGAAGTGTTTCCTAATATAAGGACAGCAATTTTCTTTTCTTCTACCAATATGAGAGAAATGACTTTTCATCTTCAAAGACTTTTCATTTGAAATGACTTTTTCATTTTCCCTCCAAATTGGTTCCCCCACTTTTTCCATTTTCTCTTCTTATTTCCATTTCACACCTTGCTAAAACCCAACAATCCCCCACATGAATGGGGAATGACTATTGTTAAAACATATGTATGAAAAACTTGGGTGTCTCGTAAGTAAGGAATCACATCTGGATAAGTAGGTGGTTTCTAACGGTGTTATCCCATAGATACACTATTTGATATACCATGTATCAAACTTAGAAACCATTAAAAAGCATTATGCTTTTATCCTGGTTACTGAACATTGTCTCATCATGAGAATGGACCATAAAATAAATTTTGACAATGTTGAACCGTCATCTATGACTTTGTTTGATCTCCTTGAACCTAGATCTTGGGATCTCCAGTCTTCTAGGTAGAGTTACCGCCACGATGACTTGTTTTCGGTCATAGTCCCATTTTCGTCGATGATCTCTCAACTCCCTCTCTAGTTAGGCCTTTTGTAAGTAGATCTGACATATTATCCTTTGACTTTACATAGTCAATTGTAATAATTCCACTAGAGAGTATTTATCTAACAGAGTTATGTCTTCATTGTATGTGACGAGACTTCCCGTTGTACATAACACTTCCAACCCTTTCTATTGCATCTTGACTATCGTAGTGTATGCATATCGGGGCCATTGGTTTAGGCCAAAACGGAATATCCGAGCTCGCCCCAAGACCAAAAGACAACATCTATCTCATTTTCAAGGATGAGATAGATGAGCTTGATCTTAGCCAGCCGTTTTTCAGCATTTCCTGCCTGAGTTGTTGACTATCACCTGACCTCACACGGGAGGCCCCGCGCTGAGTGATTCTCCCCCAAAAAAGTGTAGGGCTGAGGATCCAGCATCCCAACCTGAATTAGAGGGGAACTCCAATTCGAAGTGTGGGATACTAATACTAAGGAAGGCCCCTTTCCATATCGGGGAGAGTCTGAAATAGTGTTTTGGAATTCATCGATATCGGTCTTCTAAGAAATTTCAGAGTCATTCAGCTTCTTCACCTGTCTTGTCTAAGGCGATGAATTCAGACTCTATTGTAGAGCGAGCTATACATGTTTGTTTGGATGATTTCCAAGATATTGCTCCTCCACTAATAGTGAAAACATATCCACTCGTGGATTTCGTTTCAGTTGACCCAATAATTCAATTTGCATCATTATATCCTTCAACAACTGGTGGATATTTGTTGTAATTCAAAGCATAGTTTTAAGTGTCATCTAAGTACCCCAAAAATCTCTTCATTGTCATCCAATGATTTTGATTGGGATTATTTGTGTATCGCCTCAGTTTACTTATAACGTAGGCTATGTATGGTCGTGTACAGTTCATGACATATGTTGCTCCCAATTGCACGCACAAATGTACGTGGTCGCGCAAGTAATATAGTGGCTCTTAAAAGAACCAAATTATTGAACCCAAAGGACTTGTCAATTAACTATTTTTACTAAATTATACTGATCTAATTATTTATTTAAGAGAGCCAAAAGAGAAGAATGCAGGAACAAAATAATAAAATTACTTACAATTGTTGGAAAATCCTAGGGCTGCAGCATGTATTGGATTTCATGTTTCATATTTTTGGCTTAGAACTAATTTTAGTTGTCAAGTTACCGGTTTATAGGGTTGATGATATGATCCGGGTTATACGCCTCTTGTCGCCTACCCCAGTTAGCTATCTAACTACATCGTTGAGCGGGGATAAATAGACTAACTGGTGAACATTTATATTTCATCATATTTCGTAACCAAGCAAGGTGTTAGTCTGGGCGTCACTCTTGAACACTAATCACCTCAATTTAATGAGTGGACCGAGCTCTCTATATTCTCTGGTCTATCTAACCTCTCATTTCCCGATTTTAAGATTAGACAATATATTTATCTTATGGTGCGCAAGCATAAAATACTAAAACAAGAATATAGCTAGAAGTAACTTACAATGACAACCAAGAATTAATTCAAAGACCTTAAATAATCAACATTGAATCCATAGCTACAACCCCAAAACAAGAGCTTTAGCCACTAATATCTAAGAAAACAAGAAGAAGAAAAGAACCCTAAAAAGTATTGACAACTTTCTCTTCAAAAGTGCCTCCTCCTTACTATATATTGGTTGTCCAATAATTATTTCTATGGACTATTTATAGATGCAGAAAATCCTAAATAAAATAACTGAGACCAAAATAAACGAGGAAACCAAAACCAAAACTGAGTTGGAATTGTTGTACGCGTTCTGTCCGCCGCCTTTAAGATTGTGCGCAGCTCCTCAATTGGCCACTGCCTTCAGAATCTGCCACGTGGTTGGCAGCAATATTCTCCATTCAAGTTTCCAATTGAATGTGCACTTTGCAGCATATCATTTTATATATTATTATATTCAATTTAATCTATTAAGCTGTCTTCTTGATTTTCTTCTATAATCTTTCATTTTTAATTTGTTTTAGCTCCAAACTTTTTCAACTTTACATCAATTTACTCATACAAATAAAATATACTATTTAGCACAATTCATAAAATTAATGCTCAAAAAGACAGATATAAATAATAAATGTGAGGCAAATAATGATTAAAAATATGTATTTTTGGCGTCACATCAACATACATCAAACTTCCCAATACTCTGGCATAATCCAATTGAGACTGACTTTCACCTTTATTCTTAGCAAGATTAAGGTTCACATCAATTGGAGTCTTTGCCCTTTTGAAATTCAAGTACTTGAACTTTTCAAGTATCTTTCAAATGTAATGAGATTGAGACAATGCTAGACCGTTGGGAGTTTTATGAATCTTAATTCCCAATATCAAATTGACAACTCCTAGATCTTTCATATCAAACTTACTAGCGAGCATACGCTTAGTAGCTTTTACATTAGCAATGTCCTTGCTCATTATCAACATGTCATCCACATATAGGCAGACAATGACTTCCTGATTTGGAACGTCTTCAATGTAGACACATTTATCACATTAATTGATCTTAAATTCATTTGCCAACATGGTTTGATCAAACTTTGCATGCCATTGTTTTGGTGCTTGTTTTAGTTCATAAAGTGACTTAACAAGTTTGCATACTTTCTTTTCTTTATCGGGAACTACGAAACCCTCAGGCTGTTCCATGTAAATCTCTTCTTCCAGTTCTTCATTTAAGAAGGCGGTTTTCACATCCATTTGATAGATTTCAAGATCGTATACTGTAGCTAAGGCAATTAACATTCGAATTGATGTAATCCTAGTCACTGGCAAGTATGTGTCAAAATAATCAAGACCTTCTTTCTGTCTAAATCCTTTGACAACAAGTCTTGCTTTATATTTGTCAATAGTTCCATCATCTTTCATCTTCCTTTTGAAATCCCATTTCGAACCCAAGGGTTTGTTTCCTAGAAGAAGATCAACCAACTCCCAAGTATGATTGCTTAAGATTGATTCAATCTCATTATTAACAGCCTCCTTCCAAGAGGTTGAGTCGCTAGACAACATAACTTCCTTGAACGTTTGAGGCTCACTTTCAAGAAAGAATGTTACAAAGTCAGATCCAAATGAAGTAGTTGTCTGTTGACGTTTATTGCGCCTTGGACTCTCTTCATTAGGTACATTTTCTTTTGGTTCTTCTTGAGGTCGTTTAGACCCCCCCCCCCCCCCCACTAGATGACTCAAGTCTAGTTTTACACGGATAGATATGTTCAAAGAATTCAGCATTATCTGATTCCATTACCGTATTGTCATGAATATCTGGATGTTCAAACTTATGAACCAAGACATGCCTTACTATTTGTGGCATATCCAATGAATACACAATCCACAATCTTTGGTCCTATTTTCACCCTCTAAGATATTGGAACCTGCACTTTGGCTAGACACCCCCACACTTTAAAATATTTCAAGTTGGGGTTTCTACCTTTCCATTTCTCATATCGAATAACATGTGTCTTGGTGTGAGGCACTCTATTGAACATTCGATTTGTTGTAAGGATAGCTTCTCCCCCCCCCCCCTCCCCCCACAAGTTTTGTGGTAAACCTGAACTTATAAGTAAGGCATTCATCACTTTCGTTAAAAGTTTGGTTTTTTTTTTCCGCAATTCCATTAAATTGAGGAGAATAAGGAGCAGTAGTTTGATGAATGATTCCATTTTCCAAACATATTTCTACAAATGAAGATTCATCTTCTCCACCTCTATCACTTCTGATCATTTTAATCTTTTTATCCAACTGATTTTCAACTTCAGTTTTATATTGCCTAAATGCATCTATTGTTTTATCCTTACCATTTAGCAAAAAGACATAACAGTATCTAGTGCAATTGTCAATAAAAGTTATGAAATACTTTTTTCCACCACGTGATGGTGTTGACTTCATGTTACAAATGTCAATGTGAATTAGTTCTAAGGGGTATAAATTCCTTTCGACAAATTTATAAGGATGCTTAGCATACGTAGATTCAACGCAAACTTGACATTTTGATTTATTGCACTTAAATCTAGGCAAAACATTTAAGTTAATCAGTTTTTGCAAGATTTTGTTATTGATGTGTCCCAAACGTTCATGCCATAAACATTTAGACTCAAGCAAGTAAGAAAAAACATAATCTTTATTCATATCAACTGCAATTACATTGAGTTTGAAGAGGCCCTCAGTGAGGTAACATTTTTCTACATACATCTCATTCTTACTTACTACAACTTTATCAGAAACAAATACACATTTGAATCCATTTCTTCGTAAGAACTGGTATAGAAACTAAGTTCTTTCACAATTTCGAAACATACAAGACCTTGTTCAAAGTCACCACCTTGCCCGATGTCATCTTTAAGTGGACCTTGCCAGTTCCTTCAACCTTTGCAGCAGCGGAGTTCGCCATAAACAACTTCTCGTCTGCTGGTGTTGGAGTATATGATGCAAATAATTCTTTGTAGGCACAAACATGGCACGAGGCACCAGAATCTATCCACCATTCTCTTGGATTTCCAACCAAGTTGCATTCTAAAAGCATTGCACAGAGACCGTCTATCTCTTCTTTGGATTCAGCCAAATTTGCTTGATCTTTCTTTTTGTCCTTCTTGGGACCCCGACATTCAGTAGCCCTATGACTATGTTTGCCACAATTGAAACAGTTTCCATTGAATTTCTTCTTAGGAGGATTGCTCTTTGGACCAGATGTTTTTTTTTCTTTTCTTTGATTTTGAGGGGTTTTCTAAATATTGTTGAATTACCACATGACCTCTTTTCTGCGGCCTTGTTATCTTCTTATATTCTTAGCCTTACCATGAGATCTTCAACAGTCTTCTCCTTGTGTTTATGTTTCAAGTAGTTTTTGAAGTCCTTCCACAATGGAGGTAACTTCTCAATGGCCGCCACTTGAAAAGCATCATTCACAATCAATCCTACATTAAAGATTATGTGAGTATTAAGAATAGACTAACTATGTTCAATATAGGCATTAAATAAATTTATACATTCAGCAAGGAGATCATGGATTATGACCTGCAGTTCTTAAACTTGGGTGACGACGATTTTACTGTATATCATCTTATAGTCCAAAAATTTTGCCACAATGAACTTCTTCATTTCGGCATCCTCTGTTTTGTACTTCTTTTCTAAAGCATCCCAGAGTTCTTTTGAGGTCTTGACACTGTTGTACACATTGTACATATCATCTTACAGGCCACTCAGAATAAAGTTTTTACACAAAAAATCTGAGTGTTTCCATGCTTCTATCACCAAGAATCGTTCTTCGGCCGGAGTTTCATTCGACAGAACAGGAACGTTATCACTAATGAACCTCTGCAGACTCAACGTAGTCAGATAGAAGAACATTTTCTACTGCCATCTTTTGAAGTCGACTCTAGAAAACTTTGCAGGTTTCTCAACCAGTGCATGGGTAGCACTTGAACGATTGTGTGCAATCGATGTTGTTGCAACACTCTCTATTCCAACATTTACTTGACTTGAATTTGTCATTTTTCTGTCACAAATGACAGACAATTTAGTATGTGAAATACTAACAGTAAAAGAGTAAATCATTACACAGCCTGTTTCTGATTTAATGATAAAGTTTTTATATTTTTTTAATAATTAATAGAATGAATTTTAAAATTCAAATAGAGTAGAAATGTCCTCTGTTTTAAAATAGAGACCTACATATGGTGTTCATTGACCTTGAAAAGGCCTATGACAAAGTACCGAGGAATGTCCTTTGGAGGTGCTTGGAGGCTAAAGGTGTCCCGATGATTTATATTAGGGCGATAAAGGACATGTACGGTGGAGCCAAGACTCGGGTTAGAACGGTTGGAGGTGACTCGGAACATTTCCCAGCTGAGATGGGGCTGCACCAAGGATCAGTCCTTAGCCTATTTCTATTTGCTTTGGTGATGGATGAGTTGACGCGGTCTATTCAGGAGAGGGTCCCATGGTGTATGTTATTTGCGGATGACATAGTACTGATTGATGAGACGCGGGACAGAGTTAGTGCGAGGTTGGAGGTGTGGAGACAAACGCTGGAGTCCAAAGGGTTCAGGTTGAGTAGGACCAAAACAGAATATTTGGGGTGCAAATTTAGTGATGCGTTAGATGAGGCAGATGTGGATGTGAGACTAGCCACACAGATCATCCCCAAGAAAGAAAGTTTTAAGAATCTTGGGTCTGTAATTCAAGGGAGTGGCGACATCGATGATGATGTCACACATCGCATTGGGGTTGCTTGGATGAAATTGAGGCTTGCCTCTGGAGTCTTGTGTGATAAGAAAATTCCACCTAGACTTAAAGGTAAGTTTTACAGAGTGGTAGTTAGACCGGCCTTGTTGTATGGAGCGGAGTGTTGGCCAGTCAAGAACTCACATGTCCAGAAAATTCATGATGCGGAGATGAGGATGTTGAGATGGATGTGTGGGCACACTAGGAGTGATAAGATTAGAAATGAAGTTATCCGGGAGAAGGTAGGAGTGGCCTCTGTGGTGGACATGCTGAGGGAAGCGAGATTGAGATGGTTTGGACATGTGAAGAGACGATGCGCAGACGCCCCAGTGAGGAGGTGTGAGGGGCTGGTTGTAGATGGTACGCGGAGGGGTAGAGGTAGGCCTAAGAAGTATTGGGGAGAGGTGATTAGACAAGACTTGGCTCAGCTTCGCATTACCGAAGACATGACTCTAGATAGGAAGGAGTGGAGGTCGTGTATTAAGGTTGAAGGTTAGTAGGGCTAGCGTGTTGTCCTCTCTTGAGAGGGTATGGGTTGTTAGTGTTTGTAGTAGTCCTAGCCTTGCACTTGTAGTTCCTGTCTGTGTTACCTACAGCCTTTTGTTGTTTACTGCATTTCACTTATCGCATTGTTCTTTGGATGTTATTGTCTCCTTTGTTGATTATATACTTTCTTTCTTATTGGATTTTATGTTTTATACATTGTTTTCCTCGCCTTTTACTTGGATTTGATGTACTTGAGCTGAAGGTCTCTTGGAAACAGCCTCTCTACCTCTACGAGGTAGTGGCGAGGTCTGCGTACACTCTACCCTCCCCAGATCCCACCTAGTGGGATTTCACTGGGTATGTTGTTGTTGTTGTAAATAGAGTAGAAAACCATAAAAGATTTTAATCTCCAAAAACCTCAAACACAGAAACCAAATTAAATTTCTTAAGCTTGTTATCTCCTATATTCAAGTTTGGAAAAAACAAATATAGAAAAAAGATGAAACAGAGAGAAAATAAAAATTCGAGTCCACAGAACCCACTGTGTTTCCTTGAGAAATTTAATCCCCTCAAGTACCCGAGGTTAAAAATAATTCCTCCCAAGATAAAACAGATTAACTATTAGAGAAGTAGCGGTACCTCAAACTTCACTAATTTCAACAAACACAAGAACAACAACGAGAGCACACATAGACTCGATCGATCGACAATTTTATTTTTGTAAGAAAATGTATGTAGAAAGGAAAAAATTTCAGTGTTGAAAAACGAAAAAGACTCTCTATTTATGGCCACTTGCAGCAAGGAACGCGTCTGTTCGGACCATGGTGTGAACGTATCTGTTCAGACATGTCTTTCCAGAACGTTGTGTCTTTTGGAAAAAATAACGTCTTTTCGGAAGGAGCAGATCCCTTCAGACGACTTTACCGTTACACGCAAATTTCAAACAATTCTGTTACGTGAAATTAATTCTATTAATTAACTAACATTCTGAGTTAATTTATAAGAAAAAGGAAATCAATTAATGAGATTGATTAAATAAATTTTGTCCAAAAATATTATCAATCAATTGCCGAAACCGAGGCCGAGCGAGCGATGACGACAGCGTGAGGAGCACCTTCTTCTTAACCTTTTAAGAACTAAAGGAAGTGTTTCATATTATAAGGACAACAATTTTCCTTTCTTCTACCAATATGGGAGAAATGACTTTTCATCTTCAAAGACTTTTCATTTGAAATGACTTTTTCATTTTCCCTCCAAATTGGTTCCCCCACTTTTTCCATGTTCTCTTCTTATTTCCATTTCACACCTTGCTAAAACTCAACAACGAGTAAGAAAATATTTTCTTAAGAAGTGGAGTAATAATAATGCTCATATGATTATTGGACAAAAGAAAAGATTTTCTTAAAAATAAAATAAATTCAATGATTGAATAGTGTAGGCCACCACCATTTAAGTACTATGTCAAGCATCGAATGGATAAATCATACGAACATATATCCTCCTTCATCTATTTTACAACTTGATTTGACCAATCAAAAAAACCAATTAAAGTTACTTGGACCAAAAAACAAAAGAAAAGAAAAGGCTCTAGAAAGGTAATCCACAATTGTTTTAAATTGTTTTTTCCATAGAAGATCAACCAGACCATTTTTCTCCCAATAACAATGAAAATCATGAACTAGCATGACATAAATGTTATCACATATGAACATATAATCAAGTTATCTTAACATTAGATGCAAGTAGGTTTTTGATGTCAATTATTAGAAAATATGTGCGGAAGTATTTTAGAAACATATTGTTTATATGAATAATATATATATCCTAAAATACATATTAACATCTAATTAGAATATATAAACTTGATGAAATTTAATTCAAAAAATATTTCTCAAAGCGTAGGCAAAATCTTCAAATAAATTCATAAGTGTGATATCAATTCTGCAGTCTTTTATAATAATTGTAAATTAATCGTCGGACGCTTTCAATATTCGGATGGACAAGTAGGGTGGAAAAACTCATTATTCTTCTTCGACATTAGAAAGAACCTATATACAGGCCTTTTTTTATCCGGTCCAAAACCCAGACAAAAATGAGTGTCTTTCCCTTTTTCACCAAGAAATAAGATTTTGAATACTAATTAAATTATATGAGCATGATAGGGGCCAAAAAATTAATTAGCAAGGTTCCATATTGTGGAAATACTTTGAAAATATGATTTGAATTATTTTTACCAAATTAAATTACAAATCATTTCACTATAATTCGTAATTGAATACTTCATTTATATTTTGATATTTTTCATTAAACACTTGTGTAATTCCCCATATTAAGACTGCATATTATAATCAATAAATTAAATTACTGACAAATAATTCACTATTAATTTTCTTTAGAGCACTGCTTAACTTACTTCATATGTCGAATTCATAAATTTTCTTGAAAGGTTTGACACAATGCAAACTTCTAAGCTTTTCAAAAAGATGTATGATCAATCTCTATATCGAGACATGAATTTCATTAATTAACTAATTATTTCACCAATATATATTATTATCATCCCATACATATTGATCAATCTCAGGATTTCACATTTTAATAAATCAAAACGATAATTAGCATATACAACTCAAAATAGTAATATCATGATTGAGAATATGAGTATGTATATAACAATTTTGGAGAATATGTTTTTGTCAGTCAATCTAAAACCTCTATCTCTACTAGTTCCGTTCAATACATACAAAATGCGCTAGCACAAATAACATAATCAAGATAATTGTATTTCATTTTGTGATATAAACATATCGATAATTTGTCCAATTTTCATCTTAAATTGTAAAGTTAAAACTTTATATTTATAAGAACCGATAATTTAATCTCACTGTATAATCTAAAACTATATACACCAAACTATCTATCATATAAGTAAATAAATGACACATAAGCACCTAAATGGTCTATTAAATCTTTTATTAAAATATTTTAAATAAATACTTTATAACAAATACTTTTATCTAAATATATACTTATATAATAATATATATCCAACAATATATATACATATCATTGATGTATGGGATTTGGAACTAACATAACAACAACATAATCTTGAGAAACATGATCTTGAATACACAATTCTATGATAGTGATAGCGGACGCGTGGCTAGATTTCACACGCAAAATCTCAGCCCTTTTATTTATATTATATCTATCATCTTTACTAATTAAAAGAATATACATATAGCTATGTTCCAAATAAATATATAAAGTTTATTCCACTAACTTTTTTACATGATGAGCAAAGGATTATTCTAGATAGCTATTAGACGAAAGAAACATATAATGGCATGTTAAACTATTGTAATGCAAAGTCTTTGATGAAATCCACCAATAATCGTACGAGACCAAAAAGTTGTGGTATTTTGGACAAGAGTAATTGTATGCATGCACTCACAATCGTCTATGTTTTTTTGGTTTACGGGTTCGGAAGAACTGTTTTTTAGATTTTTTATTTGTATTAGAAAATTAAACAAATATATATGTACATTAGTTTGTGGACATCTTAACAGAACTCTTTGATGGCTTAGTGGTAAGAAAGGGATTGTGGAAATGCATTTCATTAATAGATTGATCAACTTTACTATTTTGCTCTTTGTTTATATTAACTAGCTTTTTGAAAAAAGAAATTCTTAGATCTTTAAAATTTGTTTAAACTTCCAAAAGCTATATTGATTATAGGGGTAAAATGAAAAAAATAATTATTTCTATCTTAATTTAGTAAGTAATCAAGTAATATAAAACAAATATTTTTAATAAGATAACGAAGAAAGTAAAATTTATTTGCAATAATAGGTAACTCTTTAAATGTAATATGACATGCTAATCTGGAAAATAAAGAAAACATGTTATGCAAGGTATAATGCATGCTAATTTTATTTTTTACAATTAAAAATTCTTCTTTATATATAAAAGCCGCTTGGGAAGCAGTTGGCAGTTGTCATGCCAATTTGTTGTTTAAAGGCTATTTTGGTCATTTCAGGTAAAATAGTTATTTTTCTATTTTAATTTAATTGTTTTTCTTTTTCATTCGTTATATATTTAAAAAAAATACATAAAAGTACTATTAATATAAATTGGGACAGAAGAAGTAACATATATTATTTAAAATAACGTAAAATGTATTATATAAATCACAATAATAAACAACTTAAAAATTTAAATACTACATACTATTTAAAGATGATATAAAAGTACTATAAATCATGACAACTGACAACTCAAAATATTTAAAAAAACATATAAAAAACAATTGATTGACGTTCGAAATTCTATCAGTGCTACATAAATTAGGCCAAATAAAAGTAACATCCATGATTTGAAATGACATAAGAAGTACTTTAAACTGCAATAATTAACAATTTAAAATTTTAGAAGACATATACAAAATATGGTTGATTCTTGAATTCTATGGTATCACATAAATTGAAACAGGGAGAGTAACATATATTATTTTAAAATTACGTAAAAAGTACTATAAATTACAATAATCAGCAACTCAAAATCTCCAAAAGTGATTTTTAAAAATTGATTGATTGTTCAAATTTTATGTGTATCATAAAAATTGAAACCAAAAGTACTCCTTCTTTATATGTCACTTTTCGGGTTATGAGGTTCAAATAAGTACTCCCTCCGTTCCATTTTATATGTCACCTCTTTACTTTGCACTTGCATTAAGAATGATGTAACTTTAATCTTCTACCCTTATTTAATGTTTTCTTAAGTCAATTTTATAATAAATGATGAATACATTTTCAAGATTAATTAACTACTCTATCAAGGGTATAATAGGCAAAATACGGTAATTTATGCATAAATTTTATAAAATGACAAGTATTGTGGTCCAACTATTTATAGAAAGGGATGTCATATAAAATGGGACGGAGGGAGTATATCTTTGATCGTAATTTTTTCATACATCTTTTAAATATTTTTAAATTATCAATTGTGACTTCAAATATTTTTTACGTAATTTTAAAAAAAAAAAAACTATTTCAAAAAACTTAAATTTTCATGCCCAAATTTCACGATCAAACTTAAATTGTTTGACTCTCGAAATTCGAACGTTACCACATAAATTGAGACTAAGGAAATAATATATATTGGGCATGTGCTACTACAAACTCTGTATCTAATATTCCCTCCGTCTCTTTTTACTTGTCAGATTTTGACTTGACATACCTATAAGAAAAGAAAAGAATGATTGATATAATGATTTTACCATTTTACCTCTATTAATTAATAGAGTCTTAAAACATATTTACTCACTGCATTTTTCAAAGACATTAACTCAATATTAATAAATTGAGGGTATAATAGAAAGAAAAAACTATTCTTTCTTGATTTGTCGATAATGATAAGTAAAAACAAATCAAATTAAAAAATATTTAACAAGTAAATAGAGACAGACAGAATATCAGTTGCACCCGATGATCTCACGTTATGCGTCTACAATCACAAAGTAATTATCTAAGAATGGATAAAGAGGTGCCACTCAATACTCAATAGAAAATGAAAATAAAAACAACTTTTCTTTTGAGCCAAATATACGATCTTTTAATTTTACTGCATAGACGTGTCTAGGTGCAACCGAAGAGACGATTGGTTCTAAAATTTAGCCAAAGTGGATACCCCACTTTACTATATAGTTTATTTGGATTGTAAATATAAGATATTTAATTAATTTGTGTAACTAGATTTGTTTCCACTAATAGTAGGGTATCATGGACGAATATGCCAGCTTGAAACGCACTTCATACTATTAAAAGAAAGCAATATGGTATAATGAGTTAGATAACCATAACTCACATTAAAATAAATAAATTTCCCCAATATTTTGGAAGGGAGAAGAAAAGCTATGGATCTTATGTTAAAGAGTTTGTTGATCTTAAAGAAGATTT